CCCGGCTCTGGCAGCAGGAAGTAATGAGGCAGGTGCAGGAGCATGGCTCTTATTAGCTCTGAAATTTATCTCGAAGCATTTCTTCATAGAACCATGTCATAGAATCATAGAATCATTAAGGTTGGAAACGACCTCAAGGATCATCCCTGGCAGAGATGAGCAAAGAGCTTTACAAGGCTTTGGTGTCAGTAATCTGGCTAAAGAGTGTGCCGGCATGGAGCTCCTTGCAGAATCGTGAGCCTTCATTGTTAAAGATTTTTAGGAAGGAATTGCATTTTTCCAGCAAAATTTGCTATTATGTATTGTGTGAATTTATGCCATGCATAAACTTACGTGAATTGTGCTTAGCTGAGCACATACTGGTGCAACATACGGGTGCTCAGCTTTCTCTTGTGTCTAGTTGTATCTGAAACATAAAATAAAACTGTATCTACCTAGATAATGTTAAAATAGAAACATATTATTTTAATGTTTGCCTATAAATATAACTATTTCATTTAAGTGTTACTCTTTTACCTTTATTAATCTGTAGATAATCAGCGTGGATTAGAAAGAATATGTCCTTACTGCTTCCAGTTCCTGGTTCCTGACAGTCTCCGGGTGCGTCTCAAACCAAAGATGAAAGTGACTCCACAGATAGAGAAAGTTCTTAAACAAGAGGCAAAGAACCATAAACTTAATATGAAACAGACAAAGCTTTTGAAAAAGTACAGGGAGTCAAGAAGTGTTTTGGTAAGGATATTTACTGGGAACTGCCAAATACCTGATGTTTCTCTGAAACCTTTCAGTGGCACAGAAAAGAAGATATGGAAATCTTTTTCTTAGAAGTGGAGCTCACACCTACACATTTGGTTTTTTCATGAGCATATAACTCTTCCTTTCTTTTGGGATAACTTCTATTCACAAACAATTTTTTTAAAACCTACCCTCCACAATAGAGGGATCATGAACGCAATGACAAGAACAGTAAGCTTCTCCCCTGAAAAAGAAAAAAGAACCCCATATACCAGAGAATCTGCATGAACAACTCTGCCCTCTGTGATGTCTTTAGCAGCAGTCTGGATAGGGTCTGCAGATGTCTAAGATCTTGCTGAAAATTAAGTAATTTCTTTGTCTCGGGAAGCTCAGGCATTTCCACTGCCAGCTACTGTGTCATTTGTATAGCTTTGCAAAAATGGCAGGAGTGGCAGATTTTTGCCTGCTCCTTTTTTCCTATGAATGTGGTAGAGCTAGGACCAGGCAATTCTACTAGATGCAGAGCCTTAATACAGCAGTGTAGATCCTGAAATCCATTTAGAATCCTTAGAAATCTGTTGCTAAGAATACCCCAAAACATAACTAAGAAGGAAAACATGCCATTGACTGAAGTCATGCTGGTTTTGCCAGTATGTGTAGCTTGACATTTACTGCCTTTGTTTCACCTGTGAAGAAGGGCTTGAGTGACTGATTGTCAGTTTATTCAGTTCTATCAGTTCTCTAAAAATACATTTACAACTTACAAGCTTTACTTAATTTATCTCGGTAGACCATAGTGGCTACATCAGATTATTGTTACCTTCTGCACAAATTTAATTTTTTATGTTTATCTGAATATTACTGTTTGTAGGAAGTCCTTCAAAACTAAACCACATAGGTAATTTTAAAATAAGTTAATGTTGCTTTTGGGTGCTTCAGTTCTTTTTCATAAAATTATTCAGGAGTATAAAATTTAATCACTGTTTTTTATAATAACTACTCTTATTTGAAGAATAATAGTATAAATTTAATCTAGTGTTGCCAAGGCATACACTAGTATTAGAACAGGTTATGTGAATGGATGTTTTAATAAATGATACAGCACCTTGTTGTGCCCAGCAGTTGCTGACACAGTTGGTGTTTTCTCAGATGAGAGTTTTCTGGTTTGGGGAGTAAAATTTGCAAAGCCAAAAATTATTGAAGAGTCAATAACACAAAATTAAACTGAGGAAACATCACAGAGGTTCTCAGCTTTCAGGGCAAAAAAAAAGGTGCTCCAGAAAGGCATCTTTGCTATTACTCTCTCCAAATAGTAGATCATAGCTGAGGAGCAGAAAGGGCATCTGAGAAGCTGGAATCTGCTTTATTTTTCTGGAATGACAAACCTTTAGTGTACATTAAGAAACGTCTCTTAAGACAACTGATGAACAGTATCCTACAGAATTCTGATGAGTTCTTAAATTTATTCTGTAGCTGGAGAAGTTTGCAGAACGCACTGTGCATTCATACGAATAGTTTTAAATTCCGTTTTAAATAGGTCCATTTTAAACTGGGTAATATTCTAATCTTGGCATGTAATTACAGTTTGCTGCACTTGTGTTCTGCTCAGTTCATTTTGCATTTGTAGTGTGGATTATGATTTAAATATTTCTGGTCTTAAGTATTTAAAGTACTGTCAGCAGCTGACAGGTTTCAAAATTAGCAATGTAGATCCCTATAATCTAATACCTGAGACTTGCAAAAACGAAGATTTGAGAGTGGTTGAAATTAAACCAAGCCACAATGTGACAGGTTGTGCCTCTGATACCTTTCTTAGCAAGTAGAACTTGAGAATGCTTCTGCCATGAAAAGGCATATAACATAGGACCTATTTCAGGGTTTTTAAAATTTTTGGAGGTAACAGTATATGCAATTCAGGGAATGGGAACTAGCTGTAGTGCTATGATTAATCTACTAATTTATGCATTGGAAGGTGTTTACCTGCATTTATATTCTGTGGAGTGCTAAATCATCATGTGATGCTATTTTTTTTCTTTTCCTTCTGAATTTCATTTAGAAGAACTAAAAATACATCAAAACCTGAGTATAAGTTAATGATCTTTCCCTTTTTTAGTTTGTTAGGCTGACAAAATAATGTCTGGAGACAGTCAAAACACTTACCTGCAAATGTTTAATTTTGGCGTTTCTAAATTTAATTATTTCTAAGCAATCTGAATTTAGGTAAATTTACATACTTTGAAATTAAGAATTATTTGGTATAGATGTTTTCAGAACAGCTTAGATGTTTTTGTGACATTCTTTCAAATGTTTTTTTGAATCAGAAACATCACGTAACTGTGGTTTTCAGTCAGTGTAACTGTGTGCCTCAAGAAGTTGCCTGGCTGTAGTACTTTCATGTATCTCATAATCAGAGTAGTTGCCATAGCAGTCAGGGATATTAGGAATATCTGACGGTCTCTGTGACTGTCTGACATTATCTTTTCTGATGCACCTCTGCAACATACCATGCTGCTAGAAGTTCCCTGCAGCCTAGAGGTAAACAGATGGAAGAGGAAGCGCCCTTTGTCTATAACCTCATCCTTATTGTAGTAAATAGATTTGCACTAATAGAAAGCCTCTTCTTTGTTCACTAAGACTTGCTGTTATTAGTTATGGGTGGCTATTTTTGAGAGTTTGGTAATTTAAATATTTTCTCTCCAGACTCCCTGGAAGGCATGTAATATGGGGTAGAGTATGCTAGTGAGTTTAGATCACCTTGTATCTCCTATTTTGTAGCAAAATATGAATACCCCTCATGTATACTTCAGATTTCATACCTCCAGTCCAGATGCTGTTTTGTCTTTCTGTTTTGACAGGGTTGTTTTTTGTATTTCCCTGTACAATGTTACATTCAGCGTTATGGGTCTGCTGGCATTAGTTGCTAGGGGACTGGAGTAATTTCTAGGTGAAACTCTAGGGTGTGTTTGGCATAAGAAGCTGGAATGAAAACACCAGGTGTAAAGTATTTGTTGCTTTTTAATATCTCTGTTTCACTTACACAAAATTTAACTTGTCATGATATGTGGAGAATAGTTTGGATAATTCTTACAATGGCTTTGTAACATAAAGGTGGAAAGACTGAAGAATGGTTGATATTATTTCTTTTCTTCTCTCCATAGCTGGTTACTTGCAAGTCATGCAACAAAACAACAAGACACTATGGTAAAAGCAGGGATTTTCTGGCTACCAAGACACACAATTCAAGCACTCCAAGTATTAGATCTAGCCTGAGGACATCAGATGTAAAAATACAGTCTGCAAACAAGGCGACACCTGTGAGCTGCAGTAGGTTGGGATCTAAAGGGAACAGTCCCTCATCACTTCCCAGGTACCTGTTCCTCTCCTATTTAAGGAGGCACTTGGCTGAGTAGAGTCTGTTTTGACTTGCTGGGAAAGGGCGTCATGTACTGGTTTCAGATCAGTCACTTAATAAACTTTAAATTGATAACTAGGTATTTTTTCTTTAGTGTCCTGATTGAGGTGATCAATTTTTACTTTCCAACCTTTAAAATCAAAGATTATAAGGAAAGTGACAATGTGCAAAGAATGCACAGTTATGTTTTTGTCATTAATCTGAAATGTGTGGCTTAAAATTTACATACTAACTGCTGACTTTCACATTAAAAGACACTATGTTCAAAAGTTTTTGCTCAAATTATATATGCTCACTTTCATAGTTAATTTTATGTTAATTCTGATTCCTCACTTTTAAGACATTTGAGTCTTTTGTTTTTCAGAACACATCTATCTGGACAGGCGACAAGCAGCTCTGCTTCCAAGACTCCCCGAAACTCCAAATTTCACTTTTCTAAGCTAAAACGGATGCTTAACCTAGAAGAAAAAGAGAAAAGCCAGAAAGCAGATTTGAAAACCTTCTTGACTTTACTGTAGTTATTCATTATTTCAAAGGAATAAAGATTACAGCAATAAGTATTGTTCCAGTTTTAGTAAATTAACAAAGCAATTTCTTTAAAATTCAAGCTAACAGCATGTGCACTGTGTAAGCGTCAACCATATTTTTTAGAAGCAGTCTCTATTTTTCAGAAGCAAGGTCTGTTTCTAAGGTGACTGATTGTTCACAAGAGGGAGATGAGAAAATAGCCAGTGTAATATGCTTGGGAATCTTGAACATGTTTTGCAGTCTCTAATGGCCCAAGAGTTAAAAGCCAGGATCTGTCCTTTGAGGAAGCTGACAATACTGGATCCATCAGTGGGTCCAGCAGGATCAACAGATAAGCTGTCAGACCTGAAAGCAATTTGAGCATGAGAAGCAGTGTAAAATAGTTTATTGCAGTTTCGTCCACCTCCCACTCTCACTATGTTTAAGATAATACATCACAAAGGAACTTAAAAGATCGCATCCCTGCTTTGCATGTTTGAGTAAAACAAAGGCACTTTCACTAGCACTTTCTGCCTGTGTGATATTTTCAAGGATTTAATGTAGTGTTCTGTAGTATCACTGTCTTTTGATACCTGTGGTAATTTAAGCACAGCCTTTAACACAGCCTTTACAAAGGTTCCCAAATAACTTACTCTTTAAGATAGTACTCATACAAAGAGAGATAAAACAGTGTATCAGCAGATGTAAGTTTCTTCCTTTTCTTAAGAATGTTGTCTGTGATTTGGACTGCAGATGATACTGGTCCCAGGATAATGCAGAACCTTCTAAAACTGCTTTTTTTATGTGGGATGGTCTCAACACCAACTGACAGCTATCAGCATCCTGATTTGTTACTGCTATGAGAGTGGGAATAGAGAATACAGGGTAATTCCTTTCCAGTTACTCTGGTGCTACCAAAATTGTTCACTTTAGTCTCATTCTGAAATTACTTCTTTCTTAAATGTCTTTTAATCCTATCAGGTTTCAGAGTTGCTTCCTTCCTGGACTTCAATGTAGAAAACTAGGTTTTCCCTGGACAGTAGTCAGCTTGTTGTACCAAAATGTTTTGATGTGAATAGGCTATTGTCAAAGTTAGGGCAGGCTTCACTGTCAGATTTGTTATTTTCAGTTTGGCACAGAGCTGAGAAAGGGCAGTAGAAAGTCACCGGTCAGGACTGAGTTTATAGCCTGCCCTGCATGAAGTCTGCAGCGGCAGTTCTGCATATAGTCATGCTTCAGATTTCCCCTCTGAAAAGACAATCAGTTAAAAATGTTTAAATTCTTGTCTTAAAAGTCTGTATTTCCCTTTTTTAATTCTAAATAGTTTCCTTTCAGTGTACTTGGACGTAATGAACACCACGTAAGAAATAGGACCAGCAACTAAGTTGTCAGACTTGAAAGCAATCCAGGGCAGGGGAGAATAGTTTGTTGCAAATTCTACTTAGTCTTAAATATTGGCATGTAACTTTTTTATATCTCCTGTACACTTGCACAATAACTTTGAAAGGTTCACTGCCATTTGTTTCTTACATATATGTAGGATCAAATTAACTGTCATTCTTTGATCAACATATGGACCTTGGAGTTACACCTTTTCTGCTGCAGAACTTGGCATTAATTTCTCTGTTGTTGCTGTATTTATGATCCAGTCCTGGAAAAACACTTCAATCTTGTTGATGGAAAATGTGCATTATAATAAAGTATTTGAAAAGAAGTTTTGAAAAACAAATGTTTATATTAAAACTACACACATTAGGTATTCTACTACTGTGCTTTCTGTGAGGCTTACATGAAACCAGCATGGGCATCTGCTATGTTTTAAGGTGCACCAACATTAACGTGTTAGAGCAAATCAAGAGTATGCTTTTGGAGCAGATCTCCCAATTGTCCCTGTTTACTGTGCTGTTTACGCAATACCAAGTGGTCTCAGAGTACCAGTCACATTCCTTTTGGAGAAAACTACAGATAATGGATAAAAGACATAAGCTGGGTCACAGCTAGTGTTCTGCGAATGCTAATGGGCGGTCTATCCACAGGATCACAGGAGAGCTAGTCAGCTCTGTGAAGTACACAGCTCCAAAAAGTGCATTGTGGATGCCAGGTACCGAGCTTCAGGTATTCTGCACTCCAGGTGTATTACTAATGCAATGTGCTATTTGTTAATGTACCTAGAGCCTTGTCATGCTCCAAACAACATATGTTTTTTTGTAATTACCAGAGTTGTCAGACATGTCCAGATGTGTTATTATAAGGAATCATTATTGCCAGCTATCAGACTTCCCTGTGGAAAAAAAAGGGGGGGAAAATCAATATGTGCCATTCCTTGTTCTACAAGTGTGCTTCAAAATGCTGGGCAGATGTGGTGGTATTTTCTATCTGAAGTGCTTTTATGTTACTCCTCAGCCTCTAATACAGTCTTTTTCTGTTACTGGACTTTCACAGAATCAGTGTATTGAAAAACACACACACATATCTACTTGTCTGTATATATGATGTGTATAGTTATATACATATGTATACACACATCAGATGCATATATATATACACACACATATAAGCATCTGATGCGTTCTTCCCTTCAGAATATATTATATTCCTGTACTCACTGAACCACTGAAGGTTAATTGTTAGCTGCAACAGACTACTGCTGAGCCTCCCCGCCAAACCTCTGCTATGCAGCACTGCTGGTTTGTGTTTGAAGAGTTGGAAGAAGAACTCTATAGAAAGGAAACAGCCTTAGCTGATTTTAGTGAGGCCAGAATTTCACCCAGACTTTGTAAAGCAAGACCAAGAAAGTTCTCTGCTAAGCATAAACCCCTGTGTAACTATAGAGTTATTTCCCAGCTCATACAAATTCTGCTTATGCAGTGGTACGTATACCATTGACAGTAACAGCATCGCACCATATACTGAAAATATTACAAAGTGTGTCTTAATATAACCAGCTCAACTAAAGTGTGTTTTATTTTGAAACATCAGTTTGAGCTATTTTCCCATTTTTGAGTACTGGGAACCTCAGGCTGGCATATTACAACTGGTTCCATCACACCCAGACCCACCTCTGAAGGAAAACAAACCAGCCAAACGAGATGGTATATGAACAATATTTCTTTTTAAAAAATTTACCGTTCTAAAGATAAGACCTCAGACTTTTTAATGCACTGCTTCCTCACTGAAAATTGCCACACAAAATTCAAATACAGAGAGTACTAAACCTCAAAATCTGTATTAACCATTTTCTCACCATCACCATGATATTTTGGTTGACTCCTAAGCATAGGGAGCAGTTTACATTAAAGCCATTTCACACCATGAGATTGAGTAGGCAAGCAGTAAACAATGATTTCAAAGATGTTTTTACAACATTTTATTCTATTAAATATGAAAGCGTACATACAGGTGTTACTGAGGACATAAATTACACAAGGATTACACATTCTGTCAGAAAAGCACAATAGTCTTTACATTTCAAACTTTTCTTGGTAGCTTTTAACAAATGAGCCTATTTCTGTTGCAAACAAGTAACGAGTGCTATTGAACTTTTGCAAATTCCCACAAAAACATCATGCTTAGTAGGATACTTTAAATATTGTAAAGATTAAATCAGAATTAGATTTCTGAATAGCAAGATGGAAGAGATATACTACTTAATCAAGATAAATGACACACTGAAATAGGAGCTGAGACAAAATTGGTCATTCATTAAAAAAAAATTCCACTTCAGACACTACATTTGAGTCTGCTTTCTTTACTTGCAGGAATAGTCACTGTGATTATATATGCATGAGTAGTGAGCAGAACTGGTCCTAAATATTTATAAATGTAACCAACAAATTTTAGACGTGCTGGTTTTCTAGTTCACTAATTCTTCCACTGAAAAAACCCACGCCCATGAATCTATTTGCTTATGTTTCAAGAGGTTGAAATCCAGCTCTTTCTGTAGAGGGCCAATCAAGCCTATGTGTGATTTCCATGTCTTCCATGGCCATCTGCACAGCAGGCTACTGCATCCTACGTTATGTATTTTGAGTCATCACTGAAGTACCAGACTGAGTTACCACTGACTTGTGAGAGCAGTGTTAGTCCATGGAAGTCCTAACACGTTGTCTTTTTAAACTTCAGGTACACAGGAATGTAATTTTATCATAATGAAAGCTCTCAGTTCAACATTCAGAAGACTACTCAGATAAAATACATAATAAGCATGTAGTTTGGGCTGTGTTGCTAGGGATTAACTAAGGTGTTTTAATATATTAATACAAACATTAATGGTGTGAAACAGACAAGCTCATGTTACTGCAGGCGGTAGTTTAATTTTCAAAAGGAGTAATGAAACACAATTTCTAAGAATGGTAATTTTTGTAACTAAGGACTTCACATTATTTATTTTTAAAACCACAGAAGTGGGGTAATATTCCTCATATCTTTCAAAACATTCCGCAATAACACAGCTTGAGCCCGCAAACACTAGAATATACAAGCAGTGCCAGTGACCTCCAAGGTAAGCATTCTCATATGGCAAAGAGCGGCAGAAGTCTCTTTGTTTTTTCCAGAGAATGCTCAATAAAAGTGCAATATAGTGAAGCAAATAATCTAATTATTATGCTTTTATTATTTGATGAAAAATGCTCAGATATTTTATAATTGTGCCTTTTGCAGGGTGGGCATTCTAGTTTTGAGTAGAGTCAGACTGCATTAGAAGAGATAGGCAGAGTACACCCACGTTTTCTTTCCCAAAGCAGTAACACTCCAAAGCAGTTCTACTGTATAATCCCATCTACAGCTAAAACATTGTGCTGCCCAGTTTCACAATTATTTCTGTTTTGATAAAAGTTGACATTTGTTTTACTTTTCATTTCCACCCAGGCATGCTCTCCCTTTCAGCTCCTAGGCACTCTT